GTCTGATGACTTGAGGAGGGGGGTGGTCGGTGGTGTGGAGGGGTAGTGCTTTGAGATAGTGTGGAGGACTGTGTGTGGGGTTGGTGCGGGTGTAGCGGGGAGCGTGATTGGTTGAAAAGCTTAAGCTATTATTTGTATTGTCTTTTCCACTACTCCGCTTTTCGCGTTTCCACTCGTAAATAGCCTGTTGCCTGTAGGAACTCGACTACTAATTATTTCCTCGTCCCGATTCGGTCTCGCCGTACTCAGTAATCGCCTTTTCTAAATCCCTTCGAGTCCTGGCCAGATCCTCTCCGTTTCTCTTTTGTACGTATTCGTTGATGTACTACCGCTACTATTCTTGTCGCCTTCTCGAGATAGATGTTCCTGATTCGATCATTCTGGGATTTGAGTGTGGTGCCGGATCGAAAGTTACCTTTTGCCGATGTGCAGTTGATTGTGTGGTGGTCCTCCTTACCGGTGTAGGTTTACTCGTTCGCCGGTTTCTCACTCCTCTCACTGGTCTTGTTTGGAGATTTTGTCCCTCACCCGTGTAGAAGTTCGTGTTCACTCATTACTCGGTCTCCTTTCCCAGTTCTGTCATGCGAAGTTGGTTCCGTTTTTTCCTCTCGGGGGTACCTTGTCTGCTTCTTCCTTGACCACGTCTCCTCTCTCGTCCCTTTCTCTTTTCTGGATAGCCCTTCCTGTGTCACTCTTTCCTCATATACCACCTGTTATTTCCCTCCCACAGCCCTTTTCCCGATTTCCCTGCCTTTTCATGGGCCCTTTCATGCCCTTCTCCCTACCCGTTTTTATTCACGAGCAGATGAAGAGTTCAAATCTTGCTGTGGGCTGATACCATAATGGTAGGTGCTTCCCCCCTTCTTTTTGAAAAGAAGAAAGGGGAACACCCCCATCCCTCTCCCACACGCTCTCACCAGTTTTCACCGAGTTCCGGTCATGACTGATAAAAAGCATCCAACACTGTGGAGGATGGCCCACAAGGAAGCCAGAGTTAACACGTCTTACAATTCAGTGACAATTGGTAGGCTTTTCTGGAGTGGACAATATCTATGCATGCTGATGAGGGTAAGCCAGAATACCTTCTCCCTGACGACATACTATCCCACCCTCCGGCCTGCTGGATAGGACGTATGCGCATTATGACTCTTTGGGAGGCATTTTTATGTTAGAGTTTCAACAATGATGCCCATTTCCTCTCTATTCATGGTCACATGGTAGCAATGCAAGACGTCACGGCAACGATGCCACTGAATTAAAATGATCACAATTGGTTAACGGGGGGCCCCTTTTTCAGGCCTCCTTAAACCATCGCTCAAAATGATTGAGAAGTCAGACACCATATTTTATCAACTATTATGGTTTAAGGAACTGTTCGCATGTAGGGATCTCAACGCAGACTTTATCTGCTATCGTTGTTTCGTATGTGCCCAGTACAGTCTGTTGAAGGTCAGCAAGTCCGGGGGTCAGAAAAACTCAGGTTTGACAGAAGAGGTTTGGGGGCAGACCTAGAGAACGAGAGTTGTTGAATACCCCACTGAAGGGAACCGGTGAGGAATGGGAGAGGAGAGAACTTTTTAACAAGCAGAAGCGCGTACACTGTATCTGCTTCTGTGCTGGGTTACCAGCCGGGCCTGGGTGGCCCTGACCGGGCAGGTTCCGGGCAATGTTCCCGGCAAGGTCCAGGGCAGCCCCAGTGCAAAATTTCAAAAAGAGCTGTGCTGCAAGATGAGCGGCCCAGCTGGGGGGGGTGTCAACGGGCTACCGACCTGGGGGCTCCAGGGATTAAAACAATCCAGAGACAAGAACAAAATAGAAAATCAGACTTAAGATATACCCCTTTGAAATCCTTCAAAACCTGTTTATTGCGACTTGATACCCCAGAACCCCCCCCCAGGTGACTCATCCCCAAATCAGAAGATAAGGCCAGATAACGACTGCTCAGGCCAAGGGAAGTTCTGGCCTGAAGTCAGAAATTGTTTTTTTGATCCTTGCCTCTTTTTTGAACCACCTGGTTCGACCCAGCCGGCCAGCCCCCTGGGCAGGCTTGTAGCCCCAGAAAAGTAAATTTTCAAGAAGTTCTGGAAATAACTATGTTATGCAGAGTCCATAGGTACGAGAGGCCAAGAGTAAGTCAAGCAGGGTAACTTAGGCAGGGGTGAAAGGTGGTACATCCTTCCCTGGGACCACCTTTCGGGCCTTCCTACCATAAGGGGGAGGAGCGTGTGTGAGTACCCATTGGGACTATTTCTGACTTGCCGGGGGAATAGGAACCGGACTGATGCTCCCCAGAATGGAAAAGGAGCCAGAACCGCAAGGTTCTGTTTTTTCATTGAAAAAAAAAAAAAAAAAAAAAAAACTATGTTATGCAGAATTGCAAATCAAACACTTAGGGCAAGATCTGGAAAAAAACTAAGAAACTAAATTATCTCACGCTCCTTTCAGGCCCTTAGACCCCTTCAAACCCCATTTATACCCTGCATACCCCCTTAGGTGAGATGACCAAATTCAAAGGTCAGATTTGGGCACACTCAATGGGTGCAGAAACGGCCGTTTGTATTTTCTTTTGTTTTTTTTTATTTCATTAACCTTATTTTTTGGCTTGTCTGGGTGACCCCCCAGTTGGTGGATCTGGGTTGCCCGTGTCGGTGTCGCCCAGAGGTCATGTGGGCCCGGGCCACCTGGGTGGTGTGGCACTGTGGCCTCTATGTAATATAACCTGCTGGTGAAGAATGAACCAGACACTTCGTAGTTGCTTGCCGGTGATGAGCAACCGGACTGATTCCCCCCAGAATAGATGGGGCAGTGTGTTCTTCGTGTGCTAAAAAAAAAAGAAGAGAGAAAATGAGTCAGTGACATTCCCTAGGAGAGAAAAAATATCCCCAAGAAAGGAGGAGAAGGGGAAAAGAAGGCAGCAAAAACAAGAAAATTGAAATCCTTCCGGAAAGAATTTGTTATTTCATGAACCTACTTTGGGTCTTGCTCCACCATGGACCACAAGCACAAAAGACAAAAATTATGGCGGTGTAAAATTCCATGCTCCAGCGGAAGATTCATTCTCATTTTGCACATTTGGCGAGTGATGAAGTGAAGCCCTTTGCCTTGAGGTGTAGAGATTGGTAACTGACAAGCTCAACTGTGAAACTTTTGCTGTCACTGTCCATGCAGGATGCTGAAGAATAACTCACTTTCAGGAACCATCCCAGCTGAGCTCGGTGCAGGCCTTCAGAATCTCATCCGTTTGTGAGTTGAATGGAAAATACTGCATACTAGTTCATAGTACATACTCATCAAATGTCAAAGGAGTATTTTCTCTCTTTTAAATAAAGCATTCAAGCGGATGTGGAAGGATTTCACGCTGTACACTGCCCACGGTCCGCTCCCGTTCCCAAGCTCCAGCGTTCCATGTATCGCGGTCGAACCAGTAGGTCCAGTCGATATGACAAGTCAGTAGGCACTAGGCTGTATGCAGTCTAGTAAGGTCTGCAGGTCCGAATGGGTGTCTGTTAGTTAGTATGCCTGGTAGGTCTACTAGGTGTTAGGTTCTGTCAGTGCGGTCGCGGCTTGCATGTATGAAGTCAAGTCGAAGTCGAAGATGGCTTGCACCTTATTAAATGTCAGTACATCCTCAGAAAACACATGCTATACATGCTTATTAAACAGTATATCCTTAGAACTCACATGCTACATGCTTAGGAAACAGTACACACTCATTATACACAGGGGACACACGCACAGTTGGACCTTACTGGAAGTATCCGAAGCAATTATGATGCAGATTTCAGTCACAAAGCCCTACTATGACTACACTCTTAGCATATCGCGACTTCCTGACTTTGTGGGGAGCTGACGCTGAACTTCCTGCATTATTCATTCCCACACACTCGTTATACACAGAGGACACACTCACAGTAGGACCTTATTGGATGTATGTGAATCAATTATGCGGCAGATTTCAGTCACAAAGCCCTAGTTTGACTACACTCTTAGCATATCGTTACTTCCTAGTGGGGAGTTGACGCTGACCTTCCTGCATTATTCATTCCCACCTACCCTTATCAGGTTGGTAATCAAGGATCAGACTACAATCACATCATGACAATTCCTCGCAAGGAGATCACAAGAAGCAGACGAACTCTCATCTCAATCCCGTGTCTTTGAGAAGTAGGCAGCCATCTGGTTGCATAAACTGGCTGACTCTTTGCCAGCAGTGCAGTATCAAGTCCAGAAGGCGTTTACTGGTAGAGATAGCTCCCAATTAGAAGCATGAGACACTGGCGTTGGATGGGATCTTTCAGAACGGGCAGGGATCTTCTTCAGCTTCTAGAAAACTTGGGTCATAGATTATGCGAGGGACAGTTAGCACATAGGGGGAGGTGAGCACTCATAGTGCATACGTGAGCAACCTTTTCAGTGTTTCACCCTTTTTGCGCACACTTCTGTGATCAGCCTTGTACGCCTCAGCAACATAAGAGCCAGTCCTTGCAAACTCCTCTTCCACTGGTTTAACTCTTCCCTGTGTCACCTACAATCTTTTCAGGTGTGGTAAATAGCGAGCACCTAGTTGCCCTTTGTCATCTTCTCTGGACAGGTAGACCTCTGCGTGTGTTTGAGAGAGAGAGAGAGAGAGAGAGAGAGAGAGAGAGAGAGAGAGAGAGAGAGAGAGAGAGAGAGAGAGAGAGAGAGGTTTTGCTTCCCCCTACTTTCAATGTGCATTTTGTTTCTTTCTTCTCAGTATTGTTCTGTTTTTCTCGCTTTTTCTGTTAATTTTTTTAGGAGGGAAGCGGCCAGAGGTAATGTAGTAGGACCTTGGGAGTTTAGTGAGTCAGCACCACAATGTCAAGTCCAGAAGGTGCGAGGCACAAGGCCTCAGAAAGCCCTACTGGGCCCTATTATCAGCAAGGTCGGCCGCCCTAAGTGAAGGCAAGCCCGACCTAGGCCTATTTTGGACTACCCGCAACTGGGGAAATTCAGGCAGTTGCGCAGCGCCAGTTGGTTGAAAGCGCCCAGGCCCAGGCTACCCTTATCGTATGTAACTGAGGCAGGCCCTAGGCCAGATACACAACACGGACTGAACACCGGCTCCGGGCAGTTGGGCACGGGTAACCACCACAGGCCCTGGGCCTGATTCGTTTGGACTGAGGCTCAGCCTCTCGGGGCCTACTGGAAGCTTCTGGGCTGGGGCCCAGTGCAGCCAGGCCGCACGCAGCAGGCAGGCCACTTCCATTTAGGAAAGGGCCTGCCTCCACCTTCGGCATTCGGGCACTGGCTGCATGCTGCGCAAGCGCTGCTGAGCTAAACGCTGGCCAGGCCCACGCGCTCACTGGCGAGCAGGGAGAGCAGGCAGCCGTAGCCGAGCTGCGCTGCGCTGAGCTGGATGGGGCGCATGGTGGTCCTTGGGTGCATGTGGCATCTGTGAGTGGGGGATCGAGGTTGTGAGTGATACGAGAGACATACCTGGTGCTTGAGGCGGACGGCATTGGCCGAGATCTGCTCGTACTTCGGGGAGCTGTTGACGTAACCAGCGGCATTGTAGATAGGCTAGATAGGATCTGCCATTTGTAGTCTGGGCGCAGAGCGCCAGATAGGATGTCAGCATTGGTTCTTTGTTGATGATGATGAGACTATTCCAACATCGTCACTTATGAGCTTTTGCTGTATTCTTACTTGGTGGAACTCGTGTTGCAACTCTGCTTTTGGTTCAAGGTCACGACTATCTGGACTCATGTGTACTATGCTGCTTGGTTTCTGGAGTTCGCTATTGCTCATTTTCCTTGCAAAGGTGTCTACAATGTAAGATACTGGAGATTTTGTTTTCCCTTCTTTTCAGTGTGCATTTCTTCCTTCTCCGTATTGTTCTGTGTTCTGTTATATTTGTAGGAGGGAAGCTTCCAAAGGTAATGTAGTAGCGCTCTGGGATGTGAGTCTCCCATTTTTCGCAAATCGGCAAATCATCACTATTTCATGGCTTTGTTGAATGTGACTGCTTGTTTCGGGATCTACGCCCTATGGGCATGTGATGGTTCTGACATTCATGCCAGTTGTTCTGCAGGTTGGACAGGTTTGTTGTTGTACTTTTTCTTTTGGTATGTCATTCAGCTTTTTTGAAGTTTTTTCTTTAAAAAGGGCGGCAGCCTTGAAATATCCTGGTCCAGCTAACCACCCACCTTACATCCAACCCAGGTCTCTATTTCAACAGTTTATAAGTGCACTAACTGAGCTGAGCGCATTTGTAGCACGTTGGTCATCTTATTTGAAAGCATTCATTGACTTTGCTCGTCTCTTGGGTCAATTTGTCAGTGATATTGACGAGAATGAGGACATCACGGGTCCGATCCCAGCAAGCTTCGGCAAAATGGAAAAATTGGAAATATTGTAAGTTACTTATCCGTACGCTCGCTTATCTCATCCATTCCCTCATCCATTTCGGCTTTATTTGTCTAGGTGATCACTTATAGTACCGTATACTGTTTACTGTTAAGTCCAAACTTGGAGGCTCGTAAATGTCAGTGAGATTGAAATGGGAAAAGAACTCCCTACACACCAGTGGTTTATTGGACACTACCCAACTACACAGTTGGTACCTTTTCTAGTGTTAACCACACATATTAACTGACCCTACCAGTCTTTGGTGCTGGGGTAAGGCCCCAAAGGAAGAACTTGTTTGCTTTCTTCGGAAGGTTTTGTTTTGCAAGGTTTCTTTTGTGCGACTACTTTGTATGTGTGAGGTGGGTGGGATGTTGTACGTCTAAAAGTGACTCAAATATATTGAACACGGAAAACAGACACAAAATAGCAAAATCATACATCAAGGTCGGTTGCACTGAAAATGTGGAAAGAAAGAACACTTCTGTCACTTCGCCCATCAGTGATCAAGGTGCTGATGTGGCACTTCTCCATGTGAGGCTGCATCGACTGCCTCAACTGCTTGTAGACAATGTCTGTGCCACCTGTCCTGACAGTCATAAAGCTGGGCATTTGCAGCATGAGCTTTGTGGCC